CTTAGTGCCACTGAACTGTACAGTTAAATATGGTTACAATAGTATGTTTTATATCCTGTGACTACCACAATAAAAAAAATGTTTTTAATTATCTCTCCCTATTAGAATTTATATTATACACAGGCAAGGATATTTGTCTGTTTTTTTTTCCCATGGATGCATTCCTGAGTGCCAATAATAGTCACTGGCTCCATAATTTTTGAGTTAGAGAAGAGGATTAAGAAAGTGTCACAATCTAGAAATGCAGCAGACCCAGCTTGATGGCTCTAAATAAACATTTGTTGAGTAAAAGAAAACAAAAGACATATTATTATGTCTCACTTATATGTGGAATCTAAAAAAAAAAACAATTATATTGGGACTTTCCTGGTGGTGCAGTAGTTTAGAATCTGCACTCCCAATGCAGGGGACCTGGGTTCGATCCCTGGTCAGGGAACTAGATCCCACATGCATGCTGCAACTAAGAGTTCGCATGCCACAACTAAGTAGCCCGTGAGCCGCAACTAAGGAGTCTGCCTTCCACAACTAAGACCTGGCGCAACCAAATAAATTAATAAAATAAATAAAAATAAATTTTAAAAAATTACAGATACAGAGAACAGACAGGTGTTTGCCAGAGGCAGGAGATGGGGGTAAGTGGGGGAGGGGAGAAATGGGTGAAGATGATCAAACGGTTTATAAAAATTAAACAGTTCTTGGGGAGGGCTTCCTTGGCAGTGCAGGGGTTAAGACTCTGTGCTTCCAATGCAGGGGGCGCAGGTTCAATTCCTGGTTGGGGAACTAAGATCCTACATGCCATGCAGCGTGGTCAAAACAAAAAACAAACAAACAAAAAATTCCTGGGGATGTAACGTACAGGTTGGTGACTATAGTTAACAATGCCGTATTGTATATTTGAAAGTTGCTGAGAGAGCAGATCTGAAATGTTCTCATCACAAGAAAAAATATTATAATTACGTGTGGCAATGGATGTTAACTAAACTTATTGTCATGATCATTTTGCCATGTATACACCTATCAAATCATTATGTTGTATATCTAAAACTAATACAATGTTATAGCCCACTTATATTTCTATCTAAAAAAGAAATGTTACTACGGACAGGTTATTTAGAGATGATGTAATTTTAAAAATCGAATTCAACAATCATCACTGATGAATGTATTCATTCATTCATTCACTCAACAAATTATGCTACATCTGCAGCAGTGACCCATGCACAGAGCATACCTTCAAGGAGCCTGACATCTAACTACAGAAACAGGCAATTGACCCAATTAAATTTCTGTATGATAAAGGAGGGATAAAAACTAGTCTCAGGGGGTTAGGAAAAAGGGAGTGACATTTAATCTGAGTTCTAAAGGATAAATAGGAGTTCAGTAGCTGGGGGGAGAGGTCTGCTCCAGACCCAGGGACTTACATAGCCAAAGGCCCAGAAGTAAAAACGTGGCAAAATCTGCCAGTTTGAATTTCACCCTGAGGAAAGAGAGGGCCAGGGTTTCAAGCTGGTGATTGACAGATCACGCTTACATTCTAGAATAAAATAATCACTCTGGTTCCTGTGTAGAAAAGAGAAGAGAAGCTTGTAAGAGTTTAAAGACTGCAGCTAACCTAGGAAAGAGATCATGGTAACATGAACAAGGGTAGTGGTAGAGAAGCTAGAGAGAAGTGAACCAATTCAGATCTTCAGGTGGTAGAATCAGCAGGACATGGTGATTAAGGGGATGTGGAGCCAGGAAAGAACGTAAATCAGAGCTGATGACACTCTGGCAACTAGGACTGCTGAGTGGCTGGTGAGATTATTCACTGAGGTTGAAAAATGCGAAGGAAAGAAGGTCTGGGGTAAGATAATGTGCTCAGGTATAAATATATGGCATTTCAGATACCGGTGCAACACCCAAATAGAGATGCCCCGTAAGATATGGGTCTGGTGCTCAGGAGAAAGGAGGAGGCTGGAGATGGAGAACTGAGAATAATTAATATACAGATGTCAACTGAAGCCATGGGAGTAGATGGGATCACTCTGCAGGCAAATGTAAAGCGAGAAAAGAAAAGCTCAGGCCTGCAGACATTTGCAGAAGTCAAAAAGTTAAATATGATCAAATAATTTTAACCTTTATACAATATTCCCTTTTTGTGTACAGTTAGATACAAAGCCAACTTCTCTACAGAGCACCCAGTACATATTCTATCAGCCTGAAGCCTGGAACAGAGCTATTTATAAAAACCAAGGGTTTGGCTTTCTTCATTATCGTCACTTTGGGTATGATACTACAGAAACCAACTTATTAAATCACGCTGTTAAGTGCTTACTAATGTGGAATTCATCAAAAATGAATCAAATCATTCTACAACTAAACATAAAATGCACACTCAAAAATATGATTCACATTTTTAAAGAGGCCTATAATTATCAACAAAAAATAGAGCCTCTTTCTGCTAATATAGTACTTTTTAAAAGTATGTAAACTGCAATTTGATGTGGTATCCAGCTGCTTGTTTTGCTCTGCAATTAATTCAATTAGAAATGTACATATTATGAATCAAAGTAAATCCAGCAGAGATGAAATAGTAATTGGTGAATTTGCTTAAAATTGGTTTACTTGCTATCTATATTACAAATTTTGAGAATGTTTTTTCATAAGAAAACTTAGCCTGTTCCTCCTCTTTGATCTCATAATCATCTGTGATATGCTGATTATGCCAATACAGAATAAGACTGGATCCAATATATAACCCCCTCTATTACATTCTATGACACCTCATAACAAGGTAGATACAGAGGAATACAAACAGTTCTGTACATAGCAGTAAATATATACATGTATGTGTATACTACGTATGACGCATAGACGAACAGTTTGGTGTGTATCCTCCACTCACAAAACAAACACAGAGAGACTACCTCTGGAAAAGAGAAGTAGGAATGGGAGAAGAATGCTGGAGGAAGACTTTTACTTTTCACCCTGCATTAGTCTATACTGTGCTAATTTTTATAATGCAAATGTATCCTTGTATCGCTTATGTTTAAAAATGAAGTGTGAAAACTGATGCCACTGATACCTTCCTTATGAGCACAGGGGACATTATACCCTATAACACCTCAGCTTCTTGTGGAGAGCTCATTGATGCTATGGCCCCATACATCGAACGCTAAGCTACTGACAAAAGTTATGTCCCCCTAGGGTAAACGTATTTTGGATTTTATGCTATGAATTCGCATCCTCTATATCAATTTCCATTCCAAGTGCTTTTGTTCATTACTGTTCATAGTTCAGTCTGTCAGTTTAATTTTGTGCTGCTTTGTAGGTATCCACAATAATTACAATGTTTAATGCTGTACCTTAAGGGTGAGCTTAACAGAGCAGTTTAAATGCATATGTTCTGGCCATTCTTTGACTCCCATCCCATCTCCTCTACACACACACCCTATCCCCCGCACACAGACAAGCATGTCCACTAGCTGTGTTATATATGATATCTTTCATCTTACTAGCTATTTTCCCATTATCTTCTACAGTATATCTGACGATGACATTATTATTGATGCTACAGCAAACAGCTAATATATGTGGTAAAAACACATGCACTATAATGAATCAAAATGACATACCTACCCACCAGACTCCCTCTACTCATTCTAATCAGATAATGGGTTTTGTTGTTTTTTTTTCTTGAGTGTACTACAAAAGGAGGAAGTAGCCCTGGGGAAAAACAGTCATAAAAACAAGGGAAAATAAAAGTAAATGTTTAGTTCATTGAGAACAGAAAGGAAGCTCAACTAGAAAATCTGTATCAAATAATATAATTCATTTGGTTCTATATGTAGTCTTCTTAACTTGAAGTTCCCTGAAGCATGGGTGGCAAGTGACACAGACACATACCCTCCAATTAGACTTTTTATTATGACCTAATTCATTAGAGCATAATTAAATTTCTTATTAAATGATTAACCATAAGGTTAGAAGAAAAGGTCATGTTGGATGTTAATTATACATCCTTTAAAGAATTTCAAAGATGTTAACAGCAGTACTCTCATAGACTGTCTGTTGTTGTTAATTAACTCAAACTCTTGGAAGGCAACTGAGCATTCTCTTTAAAAATTCAAAATGCATATATCCTTTTACTAATCAGTACAACGGGGAAGAATTTATCCTACAATCAATTTGCACAAGTGTGCAAAAATGTGCACGAAAGGATGCCTGGTGCAGTACTGGCAATACCAAATATTGGGAAAAAATTATGCATTCATTAGTGGGGAAATGATGATTGTGGTGCATTCATATGATAGAATGAACACGAGGATACAAAAAGTTCTTCTAGATAGATTATTAAATGAAAAAGAAAATCAAGGTATAAAAGAATTTGTGCCAGAATAACCTGTATCTGTTTTTAAAAACAAAAGATAAAGATACATGAATGTGTTTGCACCAAAAAAATAATAAGAACCTTAACAGTGGTTAGCTCTGGGAAATGGGACTGAAGTCAAGAGGACAAGAAGATGGAGAGGAGTAAACATTTAACTTTTCTTCAGTGATATTTATATATATATACACACACACACACACACACACACACACACACACACTATATGGATAGAGTTTATGTATATATTATGTATATATAATTATTACCATATACATATATGATTTTTAAGTTGAAGGAAAAAACAAGTTAAAATAAATAAAAGATTATGAAGAAACAGAAATAGTTCAACAGGCATAATGGAGAACAAATTTTATTTTATTTTATTTTTTTGCGATACGTGGGCCTCTCACTGTTGTGGCCTCTCCCATTGGGAGCACAGGCTCCGGACGCACAGGCTCAGCGGCCATGGCTCATGGGCCCAGCCGCTCCGCGGCACGTGGGATCTTCCCGGACCGGGGCACGAACCCGTGTCCCCTGCATCGGCAGGCAGACTCTCAACCACTGCGCCACCAGGGAAGCCCGGAGAACAAATTTAAGAGTAGAGAGCTTACATACAGCAGAACCTTCTTACCTGACACTTAGCACTACAGTATTTGGCAACTCGGCATTGAGAGCATCGCATCAGCTTTTCCTTCCTGTTAAAAAATAAAGTTCACATTAGGAAATGAATGAGAATCATATATGGCTGAAGAAAGAAAACATAAGTCAAGGTATTGACACCAATATGTTCTGCTCACTCTATCTGTATGGTCCATGAGATTTAGATTTTCACAGTGATGAACATCTTCCTTCACCTTCAATGTGAGACATATACCTAATAACTAGTGTTCTTTTTTTTTTAATTGTGGTAAGATATATATAACAAAAAATTTACCACTTTAACTATTTTTAAGTGTATAGCTTCAGTGGCCTTAAGTACATTCACATTGTTGTGTAACAGTCACCACCACTAATGTTCTTTTTAACATAAATTTAATGAAAACACAGAGATTCCCACTTAGGCAAAAAATTTCACTTCATAGAGTTCTTTTTTTCATAGAGTTTTTAATGTCTCCATATGAAATTAAGAATCTAGCCTATCAACTAACTGAAAGTACCCTACACCATTCAAATAGAAAAATTTTACAAGTTTAAATTTATCATGTAGTTTAATTATAATATACTCCTTCTGGGAAATGATTTTCAATTTCCATTAAATTCAATTACTACTTTCAACTTGCTAAATTGAGATGCACCAAAGTAATGTCCTCCCCAAATCGCCTGAGGAAGAAAAAAGCCAAAACAAAGAAAAACTTGGATTATAAAATAAAAACAATAAATCTGATGATGAAATTCACAGTAACAAATATCAGACAGGACTGTAGATACTTTCAAGGCAGCCAAGAGCATTAAAAGTCAAACTATACTATTAACAACAGTGACAAAACAGGAACAAATCTTTCTAAGCACTTCTGATGTGCCAGGTAGTGTTCAAAGTTCTTTACATCTATTGACTCACACTTAACTTCAGATAGTCCTATAACTAAGCAGTTTTATTATGTCCATTTTAGAGATACTTCAATACATTTTCAAGAGATAAGAAGCAGATGACTAAGGAAACACACCATAAAGTTCAAGTGGCAGGTGACATTGAAACAGTAACAACTGAACGCTGCAGAGAATCAGAACTTGAATATACCAGGTACCTCACCCATAGGAGAGCAGCAGTGAGATATGGAGCATATAACATGGGGGGAGGTTAAAAGTCTAAATAAAGCAAAGTCCAAACACCTCCTACCCCCAAGTGTAGAATTACAGGTGTCAGATATCAACATCCCAGACATCAACCCAAACCCAAGCAACCTGGCGCTAAAGTTCTTGCTTTTAACCATCATATTATACTACCACTCTTAGACAAAACTGGATAAAAACAAAATCCACCCATAGACTATTTTTCTTTAATTAATTAATTTTTTAATTTAAATTTTTTTTTAATTTTTGGCTGTGCTGGGTCTTCGTTGATGCATGCGGGCTTTCTCTAGTTGTGACGAGCGGAGACTACTCTTCGTTGTGGTACGCGGGCTTCTCATTGTGGTGGCTTCTCTTGCTGCAGAGCACGGGCTCTAGGTGCTTGGGCTTCAGTAGTTGTGGCATGCGGGCTCAGCAGGTGTGTCTTGGAGACTCTAGAGCACAGGCTCAGTAGTTGTGGCGCACGAGCTTAGTTGCTCCGTGGCATGTGGGATCCTCCTGGACCAGGGAACGAACCAGTGTCCCCTACATTGGCAGGTGGATTCCTAACCACTGTACCACCAGGGAAGTCCCATCACAGACTATTTATGAGACACACTCCAAATAAAAGGACATACAAAGGTGGAATGAGATGGATATGCTTAGGCAATATTAATATTAAAATTAATTAAACACTAATAGAAAAAAGCCTGTGTAACTATATCAATATCTGAAAAAGAGACATTAAGGTTAAAAATATTACTAGAGATGAATAAGGTCAATACACAAAGATAAAAGACTCCAATCACTAGGTATTAAGTACCTAGTAACAAATGTTCGCAGTCTAAAAATACATAAAGTAAAAGTAACATCTAAAAAAATGATCAATACACAATAAATTAATACAAGTAAGGCCTTAAAAATAATGCCTGGAATATACTAAGTACAAGTATTAGTTATCAAGTCTTTTTCAGGAATTCATAGATCAAGCACATAAAGAATAAGGAGCTCTATAATTTACTTGATCTCATGCAAAACACAGACCCTTGCACCTTTTATATTAATGCGTATTCACATACTCTTTTCAAGCACCCACTGGCCATTTACAAAATATGCCCACACATTAGGCCACAGAACAAATCTAAAAATCCCAAAGAATCAATATTATACAGATAATTTTCTCCAACCATAAAAGAATTAGATTAGAAATCAGTAAAAAAAACCCAGTAAAATCTCATATTTATAGAAACTTAAAAGCTTATATAATTCAAGGATCAAAGAGTTGTCATGAAAATTAGAAAATGTATTAGATTAAATAATAAAAAAAATCGAAACGTGAGATACAGCCAAAGTAATTCTTAAAGGAACATTTATAGCTTTAAATGTTTATGTTGACCGCAGTGGCATAATTTTTTAATCTCCTTAACTTTCCCCATAAAAAAATGACAGAGCAAGTAGGAAATAGGAAAACCTAACCATCACTCCCCACCCTGGAAAATATCTACAAAAACCAAAAAATATTAGCAGGAAAAAGAAAACACACACACATACACACACACACACACTACTAGCTTCAAGACTTGAATTAAATCAGTATATTTGTGGGAGAAAACAAAGAAGGCAACTTCCAATAGACCTGAAAACAGAAGAAGCCCCAAACTGCCAAAAGATCCCTGGCAGAAAGCCTGTCAAGCCAAACTGAGAACTGCAGCCAAGACTGGGAAAGTATGCTTTCTGCAGGAACACTCCTGAGGATGAGGTTCCTGGGGCTCCCCTGAATCCTGCTTTCCTTAGACCTGCCTCCTCAGATTTCCCCTCATTTCCTTTTTTCTTGTCTAAGTTATCAGAGGCTATTTCTGTTGCTTGCAAATAAAGATTCCCAACTATACAAAGTGTTTCATTTCCATTTTTAAAAATAATAAGCAGGGCTTCCCTGGTGGCGCGGTGGTTGAGAGTCAACCTGCCGATGCAGGGGACATGGGTTCGTGCCCCGGTCCGGGAGGATCCCACATGCCGTGGAGCGGCTGGGTCCGTGAGCCATGGCCACTGAGCCTGTGCGTCCGGAGCCTGTGCTCCGCAACGGGAGAGGCCACAGCAGTGAGAGGCCCGTGTACCGCAAAAAGGAAGGAAAAAGAAAAAAATAAATAAATAAAAATAATAAGCAGAATCAAAATACCCAGGAAAATCAGTGATGAACCTGGTAGCAAATATTAAAACTTCGTCTTCTCCCTCCCATAGCTCTCAACCACAGGCTTTAATGAATTTTAACACAAAATTTCAGCAAAATAAATAGCAAGATGATTCAAAGTACTGGGATAATTCAGCTGCCATTTGATGTGTGAAAAAAAAATTCCTTAACATGAGTTATTTAAATGTTTGGGGTTACTTTTACATATCAAATAACCAAACAAATAAATTTAAGTTCTCAAGTTTCAAAAAAAAAGGTCAACTGAATCCAAGAGAAAAGTAGTGTGTCTGATTAGAGGAACCACTGAGGCTTTGAAGAGTTACTGCTTTTCCCTGTTGAGTAAGGTTCAGAGTAATAGCCTCCTGGTAAGGTCTCCCTGCAGAGAAAAAATTTGGGCAGCAGTGGGAGAGGAAAATAAGTATTAGAAACATAGCCACCCAGACAGTTCATGAAAACATTCTTTCTCTCTTAAAAAAAAAAAAATCAACACATCATTTCCAACTGAAAGACAAACCCACATTTTTCTTTAAAAAATCAGAAATGTACATGTCAAATAAAAAACAGAATTAATTAGAAGTCCTAAATTAAAAGGATCACTTATTCTAGGTGGTAGCTCCAGAGGCTAAAACAAGAAATACTGAATGGAAGCGAGAGAGGGACAGATTCCGTCTAAAGGTAAAGAAGATCATTGTGGCAACAGCAACTGTTCAAAAATCAAAAGAAATGCCCTGAGGAGGTGGAGTTCCAGGTCATTTGACATGTTCAAGGAGAATCTGATAGGTACATTTACAGACATATGTACAGGAAATTCCAGCACTGCAGAGGAGCATGAATTAAATAAATGTTTCCTTCTAATTCCAAAATTATTTGGTTCTGCTTCTCCTGTGTAACAAAAAAATATAAATAAAATTTGAAGATAACAAAATTTGTGCCTATTATTAGGCCAAACATGATAATCTCACAGGAGTAGAGAAGTGAGCAATATACAATTCTCACAGACTCCACAAACATCCTGTTTGCAAAGCGATTATTTCAAGAGTCCATCCAGAACTGGAATTTCTGAATAAAAAGGAATCTAAAGAAACAGGTTAGGAATGTATCAGTAACAGAACCTCTTTTTTCCCCTCCACTTAAGAGACAAATAGTAGCAGTCTACCTCTAAATTAAAGAAGATATTAAAATTATTGTATACTAAAATAAATGGAAGTTTTAGGACCCCATCCCAAAAAAGCAAAAAGGGTTCCCTTATCACTTGTTCATATAAACCTGGATGTTACTGAACACAATGTCAAATCAGAGAAAATTCTCAGCTTGCTCCAGTGCTCCAGATACAGTGATTCACGGAGCATAAGTCCAGTCCTCTCTTCCAAGTAAAAGTTGGGTCGTAATTAGTTTCTCCAATAGCCTAGGCAACTGAAGTGTGGAAAGGAAATTAAAATAAAGCTAAATTAATTGTTCTGCTGCTATACAAATTAAAAAGTCATACAGTTGACCCTTGAACAACATGGGGCTTAGGGGCGCCAACCCTCCATGCAGCTGAAAATCTATGTATAACTTTACAGTTTGGCCCTACATATCTGAGGGTCTGCATCCACGGATTCAACCAAACTCGGATGGTGTTGTACTGTAGTGTGTATTTAGTGAAAACTAAAACATAGTGGACCCACGCAGTTCAAACCCGTGTTATTCAAGGGTCAATCATACATGGATATAGGGGAAACCACTGTCTCTAAGAAATCA